AAAGAATTGGCGGATTTTTGAGTTTTAGAGTGCAGATGTCTGATGGTTTGCAAGATTTTTGAATTTTAAATGTTCTGTTAAGAATTTTTTCCTACTAAACAACTCCCATGTATCTCTTTGCTTGCAGCAAATACACTTAGTGTGAAGTGCGCATTATCGTCATTACCTTTTTGTAGCCATATTACCGTAGGTGTGTTGATGGCTCAGCTGATGATAATGTTCGTTGATCTTATGCCAGAATACTAGTCATTTATAGGCGAAATCAGTAGAAATCTAATATTTATAAGACGTGTTGGTGATTGTTATGAACGACATCACGCGAATCATCTCCACAGCTACAACCTCAGAGGCTTGTTTTAAGGTGAGTTGTGTTGAACCCTAAAAAGATAAAATTTACAGAGTTAGATTTGATTTATTTGAGTTTTTCAACAAAACATAATTTTATAAAGCCTTGACGGCGTTTCGGCAGTTTAAGGTACCCAGATTGCGGCCATTTATGTATTTCTATGTCTATGACACTGCACAATTCCAGTCTAACTTAAGCTCTAAGGCATCCACGTCCGATTCCGTCAAATCGGGACGCTCACGCGAACTGGCACTTTGTCAGATTTTCACATTTATCGTGCGCGGTTTTCCAATACATAGGCACCAGTGGCGTACCGAGGGGGGGCGGGGGGGGGGGGCGCGCGCCCCCCCCCCCGAGAACGGGTCGCGAAATTTTTGAAATTTACTTATATGGGTTATAAAATTGTGCAAATGACTTGTCTGTACTTGTAAATAATTAAAATAATTTTTAAAATTTTTTAAAAATTCATTTTAGCTTTATAAAAAAAATTTTTTCGGGGGCGTGGCTGACGCCACGCCCCCTTTTTCCAGATTTTAGGGGTTGGGGATCCGCAAAAATTTTGAGAAGCACCCCAAAAATTTTTTCGGAGTGTGTGGCTAACGCCACGCACCTTCATTAGAAAAAATTTTTGTCGCGCCCCCCCCCCCCCGAGCCGAAATCCTGGGTACGCCACTGAAAGGCACTTATCTTTTTGCTTTTGTTGCTAACAGACTAAGTTCTGTCCACACAAAGCGCGCTGACCAATTACGAACAGTCGTTCTGGTACCGAATCGCGCGAGGTATGCCTTAGGTCTAAGCCTGTAGAGCCAAGAAATTTATTTAAAGGCTCATTCGCGTTGGTGAAATCTCGGATTTGCTCTTTTACCTTCAAATTATTTCTTGACATGCAATCACAGCTCAGTTATAACTTTCTTCATCGATTATGCTTTCGGTGAATACTGCAGGGTATTTTTTTGCATGACGTTTCAAATTTTTTTCTCTAACAGTGCTCAAGATTCCTGCCTACAAGCCTACGCGAGCCGTTTCACGGCCTAATAGTACTTAGCTCCCGCATGACACTACTAGACTTTTTTGTTAATTTGATCATGCGGCTCCCTCATACCGCATTATTTATCATGCGGCTCCCTCATACCGCATTATTTATCCGATCAATCCACGTCACATCGAAACATCGCCTTGGACATTTTTAGCCACCGCTACAGCTTGAAAAACTTCCTAACTGACGGGTCTACTTACAGTGCTGCGCTTTCTTCCTCAGTACTAACTACTGCATGCTTGAGTTGCTATAAAAGTTCTGCTCCAGACTAACTGAAGAACACATAATACGGAATGGCTTCCTGAGTGAAGCTTTTCCATGAATTTGGGGACGAGCAGCAAGCGGTATGAGGGCGCCGCTATAGCTAGTGGGCCGAGGCTCAATCCTACCATGGGATAAAAAAGCTTTCCGCCCGGGGATGTTATATCAACACCAGATTAATTTGGAAAGGTGAGCACTGGCTTGGCAATGGCTGACCCATTGGCTAAAGTTACTGTAAAAAGGCCTATGCGCATTGATCCTTCCTCTTCGACTCTAAAAAGAATGCGTTTAAGCATGCCCGCAAATGGTATCAAAGAGCCTTGTTTGTCCTTTTATGTTTAAATCACTGCTTATCATTTGACTATTCACGTAATCCTGTCTGATATGCTCAAAAACAACAATTACAATTAAAGGATTGTTAACTGAAGAGTTTTCAACACATATAATACCACTAAATTGTACTGCATGAAACGCTGATAAATTTATTTACTCCATGTGCACGATACGCTTATATACAAGGCGTCCCAAAAAATGTGCCTACTGTTTGGTTGTTAACAACTCTCTTGTATGAAATCTTTCGGGAAGAATTAAACAAGAGCTAGCTAGAGCTTTTGTAGAGCATTTTGTGGAGCTAGCTTCCCCTTAGATTCAAGGTATGAAGCAAAATACCGATCTTCCTTCATTACTGTAATATTACGGTGGAAGCTCGCTGCATATCGCGCCATTGTGAGATAGGCCTTTCGAAAATATATCTTCCAAAAAATCTGAAGATTTGTATAACAAGGTTTTTATGCATGCTGATTTTATTACATAACTTTCTGCATGTCGCAGAGCTTTCTGAATTAATTTCCAACGCAGAAATCCACTGTTACGTTAAATCTGGAATAACTCAAAAATAAAGCATTAATGTAATGTAAGTTTCATATTAAGAATAATCGACTCTAATGCAAGAGATCCCAGCTTCTTTCCTAGAGGTAAAATATGACCGAATGACGCAAAACCCTCTCCAAAATTCCTACCGTAATCCTACATTAATTAAGAGAGATTGGTAACTTGCTCCTACTGCAAATCTAACTGTAAGTTAGAACCAGCTCTACAAAATGATAAAGGTACAGTACCTAAAACTTCTCGAAGGACTTAGTGACAAGAAAGTTATTGACAATCAAACAGTAGGCACATTTTTAAGAGAAACACAGCACAAAAGTAAGCTATAAAATGCTTTGATTTTCGCCACTACTCTGTTTAAAGCACGAAAGGTTGTAGCGTTTTTATGCAACGAATATATGAATTTTCGCCTTGAAAACACTCATAATACTAGGCTATAAGGCCTTCACAGGTTTGGAATCACCGCTTTCCTGCATACCCTATGCATACTTGTTATTTACCACCTAGTCTCTCTGTTCTTCTGTACCTGTCCAAGCATACTTTTTGAATTTCAGTTGTTCTAATATAAATTCTCACTATCCATGTGAGTGTCAAAGCATTTGTTGTCATGAATACGCTGTCAAAATGAGAACGCTTTTTGTTTTTTGACAAATGTTGAGATCACAGCCAAAAAAGTCTCAAGAAGAATACTGAGAATAATAGGCAGCTTTAGTTCCAAATCTTTGGGTACCGTACCGTTTATCGTTTTGTAGGCTTTGCAGAGCTGGCTCTAAATGCAGTTGATTCGTTCGGACTGTTATATTCAAATCCAAATCTTCTTATTCTCTTGGCATATATCAAAATAGAAGCGACAAAAAAGGAGCAGCCAAATTTCGGTTTTCTGATTTGTTGTCTCCGAAAAATGGAGATTGTTGTAAGGAGAAATGTATATATTAGGTCGTCACGAAAATAATTTCGCTTTTTCTTGAACACGAGCTACGTTCCGCGAAAAAAGATTTGTTAAAGGTATTTGTGTCAATCGATGCAATTTTCATGCTCTTTCAAATGGTTTTTTATGTTCTGCAGTCTAATAAACGAGCTTTTAGATAATTATCAAAAATTATGACCAACGGTTTTTGCCATGACCACCTTTCGCGATTTTTTGATTTTTTACACTGATTCTCCAAGAAGTCCAAGTAGCGGTTAGATGAAACAAACCTCAAAAGATACATAACAAATTTGTTCTCCTCCCTATAGCCTGGCCATGATTTTTGACAGAATTTTTAACAACACCATCGATATTTGTAGGCCTGTCTCTGACACAAACGCGTCAAACACCAGCAAATCGTCCAAATTTGAAATCACGAAAGTGGAGTATGCTTTAGCAGCAGTTTAACAAAGCAAGCGAGCCTTCACTAGGTTGAAAAATCGAATCTCGTACTTTCCAAGCTAGATGTGGCATGTCCAAAACGTCGATTTATAATGATTTATTCCCAAATCGGAAACAAAGGACACCCCATCAAAAAGAGGGAAAAAGGCTGCATTTGAACGACACTTACTGTGAAAGGAAAAAGGGTTTTGTACTCAACAGGGTTTACTCTATTTATCTGTTATTTGTATTTTTTCTGGGAAACAGTACAAAAATTTAGAAAAATTGCGGGACTTGAATGGCAAAAACCCATGTGTCACAGTTTTTGATAATTTTTTAAGAGCGTTTGTTGAACTGCAATACAAAGGCAACCCTTTGAAGGGCATAAAAAATGCATCGAATGCTCCTAAAATCTTCAAACATTTGTCTCGCAGGATGTGGCGCTTGTTCAAAAAAAGCGAAGTTTATTTTTGGACGACCGAATAAATACCATAAGTTAAACAAGCTTTTCTTTCTGACGTAAGTTTGTGCCAGCTAACGTTTTTTTGAACAATTATGATTTTCAAAAAACGCAAAACGCTGAGAGTTTGGTGTTTTTCAATTCTTTTCAAAAGCATACAGTCAGCATAAAGCACTAAGGAAGAAGAAGGAAGAAGTGCTTTGGATGATGACTTCATTATTGTATCTGGCAAGTCGGTTCAAAACGGCGAAGATTCTTTTGTGGAAAGACAATTTGCTTTAATTCTCAGCTAGTCCGCTTAAAATCATTTTTGAAAACAGCCATCATTGAAAAAGTCTTCAGAATAAGCTTTCATATCTCGCCGAGAAAACAAATTCTAGCAAAAAGTAAACGAGCAGGTTCTATTCAATTTTTTTTCTGGTTATAGTGAATGCTGAATCATTTTTATGAAAGTTCATTATATCTATTTTGCAGTTAATAATGTACAAATTTTATTTTTATCGATTGTGGAAATTTTTAGCACCATGTAGACAAGAAAAAGCGCACCACATACTTATTATATGCTCTCATCTCAAGCGCAAATGAGGTACATAAAAGGTCTCTGAGCCGTTCAAGCATGACGCATAGCGTTCCGAATCTCTACGCCTTTTAAAGGGGAATAGGATTAATGCATTAAAACAAACCTCGGGTGAACTTGAGTGGTTTTGTTTGTGACTACAATGCATACTCCTTTCCGTAGAGGATAGTATAAGGTGATATTCTCCAAATTGCATCCCCAATGCACTGTGTTATTTGGATAATCCTGAACATTTATTATTGACTTAAGTAGATGTACTATAAAGTAAGCACTAAATGTCTCTTCCAATGGCACTTAGAGAGAAAGTTTAGGCATGTAAAAACAATCCTGAACTAATCATCAAATCATACCCCAAATTGCGTGTACAACATAACTGCAACTGTGTCGGCCTGTGCACGTTCTTGCGGACTCAAATCTCCCCTATAATGGAGGCAGTTGAGGTAATAACAGTATGTTAAGCAAATCTTACAAGAAGCTTAAATGCTCGGTATCTGTAACGTTAAAAGTGTGATTGAGCGCCATCGCTTCTAAGGTGCAGTTGTATAATGGTACCTGTAAGTGGGAATGGCTAGTCGTTCTTGAAGGCATGCTTGCCACCGAGCCTACATCAAGTGAAAGTCAAACTAACCATTCTGCCTTCATACAAAAAAAGTTCGACTAAGTTATGTCCTATTTCAGTCTTTAAATCTTCTAAGTCATCGTCTTTGGGAGTTGCGTTGCCACATTTTGGTGGCATTGGCGGATCTGGACTTTTTGCACTGAAATATCTTGAATGTCCACTTACTAGAAGCAATTTTCACGTTTGCAGAATAAGGAAACAATTTTGAATACCTTCGGGTTTGCCCGTACAACTTAGATGTTCCATCTGGAATCAAGACCACGAAGGCAAATAGAGTCGATGTCAGTACTTCACGTAACATTCTCTGAACTTGAATAATGCCTCGTTTTATACCCCCAAATTTTGAGCGTCAAATAAAAACGAAGTGCATCTTTTTGAATAATGGAGATTGTCCAAACAGGGACCTCTATATTCAATACTAATTAACTGCAGGCTTCAGCCATATGCTGATTGAAATTACTTCGTCTTTCTTTTGACTTCAAATCTAACATTTGTGAAGCTCTTTTCTTAATCAGAAAGCTGACAGCATAGCTTGCCTATTAGCCTCTATGGGAGCCGATCATGTAAGCGAAAGATCGTAGTAAATAAATCACAATCGACCAGGTAAAATGCACACTCTGCACTTTCATTTTGCAAATACAAACTACATTTGCAACCAAAAGCTATTTCCATGTCCTTTCTTTGCAACGTCTGATACGCGGCTTTATTGCCTATGAACTGATTTGCGCCTTTTACATTCAATTCTAAAGTATAGCGGTCGATTTCATTGCTGATAATCTGTAGCAACAACAGCTTGACTTGCGCTATGAAAGACTGAGCATAAAAGGAGACTGTGCTGACCTCGTTTCTTCTCCACTAAGATTATGCTGTTTTCTCTCTTCTCATTTTATCACTATCTTCCAGTACCTGCTTCCACCTACTTTTCCTTTATCACTGAGTGCCCCGATCTTTTGAGCAGTCTAAATTTTGCGTTATATTACCAAATTTGATTCGATGTAGGGTGCGTGAATGTTGAAGTTGTATGTCGAGTAAGCACTGTTTCTATGTCGATTCAATATTAGACATGATCGACAGCTAAAGAAAATGAAACAATTTATATTTTGACTCAAATTTCTATTCTTATGCAGTATTCCGCGTATAAAATATTTTAATTTCGTGTAGGCTCAAAATCGGATAGGCACCTCGAAGCCTCCATCCAAAAATCGGATAGCCTTCATCCAAAAATTTATTTCCCCCCCCCCCGAAAATTCCCCCACCCCAAACGGAAATCCTGGGTACGCCACTGCTACATGGTAAACTTTAGGTGTAGAAAGTTCGCAGGAATTTTGATAGGAGATCGGCTCGCCAGTAAGCGGCCCGTAGGGGCAGGTACATTGACTGGGTCTTTCCTTCTCTCGAGACCAAGTTCTCTGTGCTTTTTATGCTTTTAGGAGCAGAAGTACAATTTCCGCGAAGTAGGAGCGGCCGAAAGTGGATTTCAAGCGATTTAGTTTAGCATTTATCTCTTGCCGCATGAAGCTCTTGAGACCTTCCTCCCCTCGAGACCAAGCTTCCTTTGCTACTTTATTATAGGAGGCAATGATATGATTCTGCGAAGAAAAGCGGCCAAAAGTGGATTCAAGCGAGTTTTTGTATAATTTAGTATTGAAACTAAGAGATTCTCAGCAGAAATATACCTCCGCATCAGGCCTCTGGGTCTTCCTTCCCACAAGACCGAGCCGATTTTTCCGAAGTAGAAGCGGCCAAAAGTGAATTCTTAGCGAGCCTTTTATATATTAGCATTGAAACGGAGAAGTTATTAGCAGAAATGCACTGCTGTATAAAGTCTTTGAAGCTTTCCTTCCTTCGATATCAAAGCTCTATAGCTGAAGTATGATTTTCGCAAAGTAGAAGTGACCAAACTGGATTTCAAAGGCATCGTCCACCCTTAGTTGAGGGTAATGACCTTTTGACAGCATATAATAGTAGGGCTCCTATCAATCCAATGCCCAAGTCGCGGCGCAAAATGCCGCTTCGGAAGCGAGAAAATCGCTTCGAAATGGCGAAGATGCACGAGGGCCCCCATCCATGCCCGTCCATCAGTGCGCGCCCATCCAATCACCGTTCCGGAAAGTCGGGCCTGTGAGTTCTCCGGAACGGGAATTGTCGGGGTTTTCGCGCATTCTCGACTTCATATTCGGAATCAGGGACACGAGAAGGCCTGGAAACGACAAAAACTTGGAAGTCGAAATTCTGGGTGGACGCTGCCTTTAAGCAGTTTTTGAGATTCAGCGCTAAAGCCAAGAAAATCATATCAAAAATCCAACTGCGTGAACTTACAAGATTTTCTTCCATTGGGACGAGCTCCCTCTACTGTGCTGTTAATGGCAAAATTAGGATTTTCACAAAGTAGAAGCAGCCAAAAGCGGTCAATGTTCAGCAAATTTCCATGAAATTTGACATCAAAATCTAAATGGCAAAAACGTGTTCCCGTGTGGAGTCCTTAGGTCTTCCCTTTCAACAGGCCGAGCTCCCTCTGCTCATTTGCTTTTAGAGTCAAAGACAATATTTTCACAATGTAGAAGCACCCAAAAGTAAGTTTTTAGCAGGTTTTTGTGAAATTCAATTTAATCCTTGAAATTTGGCAAAATGTTCCTAGAAATTCAGCGAAATGTACTGCCGCACGAACTGACCGATTCTTTCCTTACAACAAAATGTAGCTTTATTTTTTTATTCCCAGAGGCGCAATATTTTCACAAAGTAAAGCACCCAAAAGTGAGGTTTCAGCGAATTCCCTTAAAAATAGATCACCTTATCCTATTTTCAACTAACCTTCATATTGCTTCTAAAATCATAACGTTCCTCTCGAAGACTAATTCTAATTCTTAGAATTCTAGGATCCTAGGATTCTAAGGTTCTTGTTTGCATGTCCTTTTCAGATAATCGCTGGGGGCAGGTAGTCCGCAAACTCACGCTTTTCTGCAAGCGGCCAGCAAAATTTTGGGATGTGGCAAAACCTTCAGCGAGCGATATTTTCGTGTTTCCCAGCGGGCACCAATACAAATTCTCCGCACGTCAAATAATCTCTTCCAGCGAAAGCGGGCCAAACTTTCGGCATGCACTCCTTTTTACGTCAACTCGGTCATACGCGGTAACACTCTATATGGCAGAGGCCATTATCAATGGTTCATTCACCCGAGTTTGGGGTACTTTCTCGTAGCGGAAGATACCTATGGGCGGTCCCTCACAAAGGACCGTGGGGGAACGGAACTTACCTACCCGAGATATTCTCGCACCTCATGGTGTGTGTCTGCGGGGTATAATTAGGCACAGCGAGCTCGCTGATTCCATATGCTCCTTAAGATACAGCGCTAAGCGAAACCCCGCCCATACATTGCAACAGCTAACTTCAACGATATAGGCAACTACTAATCACGTGCGTATTAGAATTTTGATAGACAGATATTTTGATGTGAGAACAGAAAGCCGATCAGCATGCCCTAAGCGATTATCGGAGATCTCCTCATGCAAAGAAACGCGGAAAAATCAGTTCAGGCCAAATTTTTCCTGTAAATAATGGGAAAATTACTCACGGAATCTCTATCATATTGTATAAATTTTCTAGCATGTCCTCGATAATCTTACGATGTCGTTCGATGATGATTTTAATGTGGAAATGGCAAATTTGGTGCAGCAATTTTATAAAATTCGGATTTCAGCTCGCAACAACAATCAAATTTGCAGGTAAATATGTAAATGAAAAGACAGCGCAAAACCAGTAGCATATTTGAAAAGAGCGCCTCAAAAAACCTTAAATTTGTATTTTAATCAAAAGTGAGCAGATGTTGCTGAACATCAGTTTTGTGATTCTATCGAATTCTCGGTTTCATGACTGACGGATGCATCGCGAAAGCGTCGACGGGTGGGGGCGGGACTTAGAATACACACAGACTGGCTTGTACACTATGCTAATTGCGTATCTGACTGCTCATAATACCTAAGATACGCTGCGTAGGTAAGTTCCCGGGCCCAGAACCATGCAGCTCTCAATAAATTTGCATATTCGCGCGAAAAATCCGCGAGAATGCAGCCACTGCGCCGCAACTGATCTTTAAAAATGCCGCAGTTGTTCTCCGAGCATTCGTGGAAAAATTGCCAACATTAATATCTGCCAGCGGACCGCAAATAATCAGCAAACTATTTTTCCAGTGCCCGCACTCCCAAAAAACGCGGCTATTCTTAATTATCTGAGCGTATGGATTCTTTTGTGTGCATGCGTGCATCATTATTTCTTTTGTTGCGTTTTTCTGCACATCCTTGTTAATTCACGTATCGCAGCTATATTTCCACGCATAATCTAAACTGCTCTCGTTATGACGATCTCCTATTAACACTGTAGAGCACACATACTCAGATAATCGCCGGTTGCAGTCAGCAAAATCTTGGGGCGTGGTCAAACCTTTAGCGAGCAGTACTTCCGTGTTCTGCCAGCGGCCAGCAATACAAAATTTTCTACAAGCGCTCGTCAGATAATCTCTGTCAGCGAGCGCTGGCCAAACTTTCAGCAGGCGCTCTGATTCTTTGAACCGCTTCCAAGCGTACGCCGAACAAAGGTAACTCTCTTCATAACAGAGGTGCCATCGATGGTTTAATTACCCGAGTTTACGGTACTTTCTCTTAACGAAAGGTACCTACGGGCTTGCGGTCCTCCACAAAGGACCGCGCGGTCATCAATAATTTTGTATATTCTCGCGGAAAGTCCGCGAGAATGCGGCCACTGCGCCGCGACTAATCTATAAAGAAGCTGCAATTGTACTCCGAGCATTCGTCGAAAATTTCGCCAATATTCTTCCAAATACCCGCAAACGGACCGCAAAAAATAAGCGAACAATTTTTGTCCATAAATCGCATGGCCGCCTGCCCCGGCGATTCTCTGAGTACTCAGATAATTGCCGGGGGCAAGCGCGCTTCGAAACAATACTTGGCTGATTTCTTCGGTCCGCTGCAGAAACCTGGAATAACGTTGGCCAATTTCTAGATGAATGCTAGGAGAACAATTGCGGTTTTTTCTGTAGATTAGTTGTGGCCGATTCTCGCGGACTTTTCGCGAGTATGCAAAATTATTGAGGGCCGCGCGGTCTTTTATGAAGTACCGCACAGCCCGCATGTACCTTCCGCTAAGAAAAGCAGTCCAAACTTGGGTAAATAAACCACCGATGACACTTCTGCCACATAGTGTTTCACCTTTGCTCGGCTTACGCCCGAAACTGCGTAAAAAAAGTCCGAGGGTCTGCTGAAGGTTCCGCCTGCGCTCGCTGAAAG